GAGCCAATCCCCAAATCCTCAAAGCACTCGAAGAACATCGCTCACCCTTGATTTACACCGCAAAAGTGCTACACAGACACTACTTCATTCTAGCAACAACCAATATAATAACCAATCCCAGAATCCAGTTCCACTAATACCCACCCCTAAACTAGAATACAATAAGATAAAGTAAATAGTACAACACCTCTCTCCTCACATCCAACCAACAAACCCCTCTTCTCACCTCTAATCCCCCACCAACAAGGCATCTAATACAACAACTTACACTCCCAATTCTCCGCCTCATCCGGATCCCCCTTCCCAGTATACTTCGCCTGGTACGGATAATGGCAAACGGGTCTCTGCCTAAGCACCTCCTGAGCATTAGTGGTGTTCTTCCACACCGTGGCAACAATACTATCCGGGGCCGTGCCATTCTCCACCCACGCCATCATGGCCAGGACCACATCGTGCTTGGCGTCCCTATATCCGGGGACACTCCACGTCGAGGTGTTGATGGTGGATGCTTGGTCCGCGCCGGCGATGTACCACGGGGCGTTCATGTCCGTGGGGGTGTTGTAGCAGTGTCTTTACCAGTCACATTTCAATTAGCATTGACCTTTCAAAAAGAAGAGGAGAGAAGAGAAGAGAGAGGGATAGGGTCAAGGGGGGGGGCTTACTCCATGCCCGGGATCAAAAACAGACGATAGAAATCATCCACGTCATCAACGCCGTTGGCCTGCACAGCGCTCTTCGCCTGGTCGTAGTAGAACGTGCTCGCTCCAGGAGAGACATAACTATCCGAGAGACCATGGTAATGGATGAATTTTCCTCCACGTTTCTCGAACTCGCTAATGTCGTATTGTCCTGCCGTCGCGTTACCGGGGTTCAAGTGGTCAGCTAGCACGACGGTGCTGAAGTCGAGGTCCTGCCAGACGAAGGAGTCACCCAGGCCCATGAGATCACGCAGGAACCAGTATTGCTGGGAGATGGTCGACTCCTCGCCGAGACCGATGTTGCCCTCGAGCCAGGAGGATTCACTTCCGTAGAAGAGGTGGCTGTAGACGAAGGTCTGGTTGGTGTCGACCCAGTCGTTGTAGATTTTGTACAGGGTGTTGAGTTGGTTCGTGGTGAGGCAGGTGTTGGGTGCGCTGGTGGAGTTGCAGGCCAGGGTGGATGGGTTGAAGACACAGCCCTCCGGGTTGGAGATGATGTTGTCGACAAGGCCGTCTTGAGGGTCACATTGGCGGAGGACTTCGGCGGCCAGGACGGAGAACATTTCCTCGGGGATGGTGTGGGAGCTGTTGGCGGGGGCTTGGTAGGTCGTTTGCTTCAGGTTGTAGAGCTGCTGGTGCGTGGTCCACCAGGCGGGGGCACCTGCGATGATCCCGTCGTAGTCGTCGGGGTACACTTGCATGTTCTTCATGCTTTGGCGGCCGCCGGTCGAGCATCCGTAGAAGTAGCTGTAGGCTGGGCCGCTGCCGTAGCGGCCGGAGATCAGGAGCTTCGCCAGGGTGGTGGCGCCGTGCCAGGCCCGGTAGCCCCAGTCGATTACGGCTTCAGGGCGACCGAGTGCCCAGGTTCCGGCTGTGTCGATGCCTTCGTGGCCGAGGTTGCTGGAGACGGCAGCGAAGCCGTAGTGCGTGCCGGTTCCCTGTTGGGGAGTTTAGTGGGTGTGTTGGGTATGGGGGTAGGTAGGGAGAGAGAGTACCATGTCAACCCAGTTGATGCCGCCTCCTGCTGCTGCGGAGCTGAGAAGTGTTAGTATAGGATGTAGTGGTATAGAATAGCGTAAGGCAGTGGGAAGCTTACAGCATCCGTCCGTTCCAGTTGTATGGGAAGATCACACCAACCAAGTAGCTGGAGTTACCCTCGGACGCGACGTTGACCTGCACAGCACACGACTCGGGCAGGCCGGTCGGATACTCGGACGCGGAGGTGTAGTTCATAGGGTTGAGAGAACCACCCTCGGGGACGTAAGTGGCCCATTGAACGCGAGCTTCGGTGCCATTGGCATTGATGATCTTCTGGAATGCAGATGCGGAGCAGTTGGTGCTGGAAATCGCAGTGGCCGCGGTGAATCCCACGAAGGGGAAGGCCGCCAGAGGGATCTGGTACCTCATGTTGTAAGTGAGGTGCGGTCAATTGGATACTGAAGTGAGTTGCTGATGAGGATTGAAGACCAGAGGAACTTTCTGCTATTTATGTACCATGGTGGTTATTGAGCAAAAGTAGACGCGTCATGTCTTCTGCAGAAAGACGGGACGAAGTATCGTACGGCATGGAGATGGATGATGCGGTGTTGGAGTGGTGAGGTGATCTTCAGGCACGTTGCTTGATTCAGAGATGAAGACCGAGGATAGACATAGACTCGTCATGTCCGATAATTAGTTTTATTGGGTTTCCATCTTCTCGTGGTTTGAGGAGCAGTGTTCCATAGTCATCAGTTCATGCTTGATGGTTGTGTTAAACAGATATCACACAGACTTATAAAATGACTTCCAAATCTGAACCTGGTATGTACATTGTGTGCAACAACCCTGAAAAAGCGTCCGGGCGTACCCCAGATGGACAGGGAGTAGCTACTCCAAAAGAAGCTTCAAACGACGAGTGGATCTCCGATCTGATAAGGCGGCGCTGCGGAGACTAGTCTACTTCAGGTATGGATGATCGTCGTGGAGATACCCTCTGATGAAAGTGGAATTGCTCCAGCAGGGCATCAGAAATCAGTGTGTTCGAAATATTATTTACCAGTCCAAGTACAGTCTGGCGGCATAGCTGATACATGCGATCGTCATAGCATTACCTGATCGCATCGAGCATCGCAATATTATTCGCCCTGCTAAGTCCGAGGCTAATGAGCTTCTCTGAGCTTAATTCGCCGGTGTGCATATTCCCTCTCCATCTGAGCTTAGTAGCCACTTGATCATTTAGGCATCAGAATAAGCATACACTCAACTTCTATTAGAGTTGTATATCCCGCAATAACAGATCGTGTGAGGTAGATGAAGAGACATCCCGCAGTGGAGATCTAGGTACCTGCGCTGCCGTGTCCCAGCCCTATCGAACCTGCTAGGGTTGGGATATACCTGCAGTATTGCGGAACCTTTTTCATTTCTGCTCGGGAAAAGATGGCTGTTTAAATCTCTCACGCCTATGCTTGAAGGATAATTCCTCCAAGTCCACACCTAGAATAATGGCGTCTCAACCACAACTGTGCCTAACTTTGAACTTTCAAGGAAGGGAAATTCCTTTGACGACATTCGGGACATGTCTTTTACTTCAAAAGCCGCTATACTTAAATGTGCATCGAGAGACATAAACAACTCTGTTGTGTCAAGGAACTGCCAAAGACAAAGTGTATAACAGTGGCTATTACCGCTGCCGTAACTGGGACGAGAGGACACTGCCGATAAGTGCCGACTAGGGGCTAATGTTGACTATCAATCTTTAAAAACATAGCCTAGTCAGTTCTCATTCTCTAATATAAATACTACATATATATGGCTATCGAGTGCGATCTGTTCATGGCTGTACACAGAGCATCGACAAAAGCAATACCCCCAAAAATCAGCCCTGTCTACTGTCAGCCCCCTCAAACGCGCAAATCTCTTCTTAGACAGCGGATTCTAATCCATGGAGATTGTATACCTCGCCAAGCGATGGCGTGTGGACAAATTCAGAGACTGTCCGGTTGAGCTCCTGTTCCACCTCGAACAATGCCTCCGGTTACCGGTGAGAGAAGCCCTCAATTTGCAGGATCAGCCCGACTTTTTCGAGACCCTGAAAAACCATGCTAAGAAAGACCTTGAATGTCCTTTTCCGTCAGACCGCACGCATCCTATTACTATTTATGAGGACGCCGCCTATAAATACCGCAAAAGCTTCTGTGACCTCGAAGTGCCGACGTGCCTCTTCGAGCCCACATGTCCTGGTGGTGTGGTCGACATGATAAAGAAGGGTGACGTTCAAGGACTCGAAAAACGGCTTCAACAGGGCCTGCATCCCGATGGATATAGTATAGCGGGGATCCCGTTTCTTTGTCTGGCGGTGGTACATATGCAAGTTGAGTGCATTGATCTACTGCTGAGGTATACTACATCCCCCAGTCCAAGAGGTTACTGGTTCGCTGCAGGGCCTCTTGACTATGTCATGCCCGCTGCTTTGAGTTACAGCTGTCGCGACCATAAAGCCATTATCCGAACGCTGGTTAACGTGGGAAGCTTCTTTAGCTATACCAACGTCTTGGACAGTATATTTCTCTACGATGACATCAATCTCCTGAAGAGGGTCATGGATGAGCCCCCTGGTCTCTTTGCTGAATGGCCACATAGTGGCTTCGAGTTCATATTTCATCGCCTGGCATGGCATGGCAAGGGTTGTGATGAAATCATAGACTTGATTAACTCCAGGAAACCTGATGCGGCTCATCAGATATCCGCTATGGGCCATACCCCTCTACACTATGCAGTTGAGAACAAGAATGATGTTAACATGGTTAGGAAGTTGCTTCGCTTGCCCATTAACCTGTCGGCGCTGGATAAGAACGAAGTTTCAGCCCTCACTAAGGCTGTCATCGATAATTACGTGGAAGCCGTCAATGCTATGATCAGCCACCCGGATATTAATTTGCTGCAGCTTCATGAAGTATTGGATTTCAATAAAACCCCATTGGGTCAAGCTATGACGCAGCGCAATCAGACACTTTTTATTATGCTGCTTAGTGATCCACGTATGTGTCTCACAGAAAGAGCCCGAGATGCAGCGCTTGTTCACGCAAGGAAGGTGGGGCTTGATGATTATTTTATAGAGCAAATCAGTACCCTGCAAGTTTGATCCCAGGACCGTGACTCCTGATAACATTGATGCATTGCAGGCCCATAAAGAATCTCAACCAGGAAATTGATGTTTTCTAGCTCAATATGAATATCACATTTTTTTAGTGGCTCCAGAGTTTGATAATTGACTAGCTTTGTGTATCATAAATTCAAAGAGATATCCAGCCACGGCCAGGAACCTCAACCTATGTAGCACGGATCTTCATCTTCTGCTCGGGTAAGGTAGAAATGAAGAACACCAGCATTGCCATAGTATGCCCTGTAACCATTGGTAGCGGCAATGGTACTTGCATCCACGTAGCGGAAACGCCGCGTTGATGCTTGATCACCTGGGATGACCAGATTTCCAGGAGCACCGTGGAACTTGATTTTGTGGACCTACCCATGGCTAGTTAGAAATGTTGAACGGCAGAATGTAGCACTGTTTGACCTTCTCGGCGTCTTCATCGAAGTCCATGGTACTCAATAGAGGAAGGATGTCCTCCGCTAACGCTTGTGCAGGATGCCCCGTATCAATGACATGCATATCCCATTCACCTTCCAGGGAATTGGGATCGACTGGCTCAAGCTCGTTGTAGACATGATCAACCTCCGCAGGGTCTAGCTGCTCCAGTGCGTTCGCAAGGCTGATATATTTGTCGGTCGCACTCCTGGTCCATGAATTATAAGGGTCTTGTGGAAGAAAGAGAGATGTGCTAACATACCGTGCCATCAATTCCACTAGGTTCACAATGAAGGCCAGGAGAGAATGCAAGAATATTAGTCTTACCTTCGTACATATGAGGGGCTGGTGTTACTTATATAGTCGTGGAAGTAGTGTAGAGCTGGCGCCATGATCGCAAACTCTAACTCTATTAGACCTTCCATGGCCAAGTATCTCGGGGGATGGGATCAGGAATCCGTTGTTGTGACCATGGTACAGCAAGCGTTTTAAGTCCGGGGCGCATGCCAAACAGAGCCTCTTGCGTAATTTGTGGCGACATTGGGAAAGCTCATTCCAGAATTAGCCAGGTATTCTAACCTTCCTGCGAATATGAGCTCCGCAATCAAGGTCTTGGGGGTGGATATACCTGTGAACTGGTGAGAGGTCAATGTCTTCACAAGTTGAAGCATGGCTGCCATTATGGAAGCAGATAGCTGGCTCTAACAAGAACGTTTCTACAGATCATCCTTTTCCAACAGGAGTATAGAAGGAACAACAGGCAATCATTGCCATCTCATCGGCGAGGGATTCTGGAGGTAGGGCATGACGGAATTTATTAGTCGTACTTGCCACCTTGATATGCAGCAGACCTTCGTACTAATAGAATTGTGGAAGTTTCCGATCTGGTGAAGGATGCTCAAGGATATTATCTCTATCTTTACAAGATCAGAAGTATCTCATAATATTGAGTAAGTAATTTTAATAGATAATCTCTACTTATAGATCAGCTTTTTTATTACTTTATAGCTTACTTTTATATAAAATTAATTCTTATCTTAAAATTCACTCAGGAAGATATTATACAGATTATATATTAATAATTGTAGTTAGTCTGGCGATAATATAATAATTTATTTATATTATTATGTGAATGTGTAGGACCCGCAAGCCTACTATATAAAACCATTACCTCGGTGCGTGACTGTTACGCAACTTGTAGGAGTAGCCCAGCGATGCTCGATACTAGATCCAGTTGCTATATCTATACCGCCTTCTTGGCTATACCTCGAGAACCAGTACCACATGCACTCCTCAGACCTGAATGTCAAAACAAATTGGACAATCTTTGTTTTAGATACGATGTCCTGGTATTTATGCGGATAACCTATATGCTCTAAGTCGTAAGTAGAAGTGGTTTGTGATCTAAGCACTACTGCTTTTGTATAGAATAGTAGGCAATTGTTGATAGGCTTTAAAATCAGCGTCGAATATATTCGTCGCTCAGTCTTGGGGGTACTAGATACATCATGGAGGCAAGCTGTGAGTGTGGTTGGTAACATCTGCGTGATGTTTGGAGCTGACATTCATTGCCAGATATGTGACTGATCATTGAAATCCCCGTATCATTCAGTTGAAACAACAAAGCAGGGAGAATTAAAAAGGGGTTTCATACAGAGATAGAGAAGGTTGGTCTTCCGACAATATCTCTCGAGGAAAATCGTCCTTGATCGCTCTTCATCCGTGCCAAGTCGCGGAGAGCACATGACCGGTTGTTTTCAAGGATGACTCAACGTACTATTTTACTTGATTAAACATGAGAGATATCTGGTCAGGTGTTGAGGTTATATAGTGGATGAGGTGTTTGAATGAGTATTTGGGATCAATGTCGGCAGTGACAGCGGTCTTGATAACGCAACTATTTGGCCACGACAGCAACTAAAGCTAGCTGTGCGGTTAATCAAAGGAGGTAAAGAATGGTGCGCAGAAAGTAATATGACTGGCACATTTTTTGTTTTGAAATGCCACATGTCCATATTATCCTACCTTAACGAAGGCTTAGGATTTCTCGAGATAAGAATATCTTTATAAGTAAAACCCTCATTATGACAACAGCGCCAATGGCAAGTAATCCAGATCGTCTAAGCAATGGTAATAGCGTACGCATATCAGATATAAAGTTGATAGTATATCAAGGTTTCAAGATGATCTGGATCGATCCAAATTAAATGAAGCAATGACTTAAATTAGTAACAGGGGCCCCGCATCCCATGACGAGGCCACTAGTCCAGATCGGGGCTAGTGGAGCATCCAACCTCCGGGATAATTTTAATTGATTCATGGTTTGTTGCTCGATTTCCTGCCACTGCATTTTAATCCAGCTGAGATTAACATCCATGACTTGCAGGTGTTAAATACTTTTTCCCCCTTTCTTCCCCTGCAATGTTAACCTTCAATTAAACTCTCCCACCCTCATTCTTTCCTCCCTACCCCGTCATTCCTTTCCCTTTCTCCGAGTCTGACAATGACTTCTTCCCGCCGCAACGGGCAAGCTCTGCCATGTGAGCCCTGCCGCAAAGCCAAAATCCGCTGCGATAGTGCCACCCCAACATGCCAGAATTGTGTCCGTCGCGGTAAGGGAGACAGCTGCGTCTACACGCCCGTTCCGGCTTCTCGCACCTGGTACTCGGACAATGCTCCCTCACCCACCGCATCACCACGTCCCCAAACAGCCCAACCCCGCCCCGACTCCGCTGCTCTCCAGAGCCGAGCCTCATTCAACGCCGGCGACGACAAATTGTCTTTTGATTTCGCCACCAATAATTCAGCAACATTCAGCGACATTGGCGACCAATTTAAACGCTCCCTGGTCATCGATGCGCCCTCCGCGGCTCGGCCCGATACGAAGCAGATCCAGCTTGGCGCTCGACTGCTCAATATGCTGTTCGAGCATTTCGCGTTATATGAGCGACTGTCTGAAACGGCAGTCGAGGTGTGGCCTGAGGGATGTGTCCTGGGTCATCGGCTGGTGAGCGGGATGTTTGAGGCGTTGGAGGATTTGCATGGGGCGCTGGCTGCGGATGTGAAGGACTTACAGTCGAGTTTGCTTCGCTGGTCGCAGAAGATCTTTGATGATAGTGCCAAGCCGCTGGCTGTTCAGCCGACTATGTCGCCAGAGGACTATATCCGTCGAATTTCTGGACGATGGGAGGGTATTGGACTGGTGTTTACGATTGTTGGTCAGGGCGCTATGCTTGAGCGGGATTGGAGGTCTATCCGTTCCAGTGAGGCGAATGTGCCGAGGGATCAGAAGTCGCTCGCTGCTCAGGCAGTTAGTGCGAGCGATACTTGTTTGCAGTTCTGCGATCTTTCTACGGCGGTCAATGATCCGTTGGGATGGCTACTTTTTCAGCATATTCATCTGCTAACGCTTGTGTGCGGTGAGAATGGTATGTTCTTCTCTGGTCTGTTCATTTGGGTATTTGGGGCTTTGCTAATTGAGATATAGATCCTCGGGCGTGGAGAAGACTGGCTGATCTTTCGACGACGGTCTTTACCCTCAGTCATAATGCACCTGAAGAGAAGCGCATTCCATTCTTCTTGCTTGAACTCCGCAAGCGACTAGTTGCCGGGGCTTACAGTATTGACAAGCAGCTGGCAACTTTCTTGGGAAGGCCTCCTCAGATTAGCTGGCGCTACTACGATGTGCAGTTTCCTCTGGACTTGAGTTACGAAGAGATTCTGGCGGAGCCAAAGGTCCGCGAGGCTGCCATCAGCCTGCTTGACAAGACTGGCTGGAATACCCAGGGTATCGTGGGACAGGCTGCGTGGATGCGCATCGCCCTTCTTATTGGATCTACGAGAGAACAGATTCTGGAGCTATCTTTGAGCCGACGTATCGAAGAGTTGCCGCGCAAAGTCCAGTAAGTGTGCCGCAGTTCACAAGTAACGATTGGAGAATTGCAGATCGGAGCTAATGTGCATCCTAGGGAGGTGTCGCAGCAATCTCACAAGACATGGAACGACTTGCCCGGCTTCCTCCGTTGGCGCCCGAGTGATCCGGACACCAACGATAGCAGCGTTCTCGTTCCATTGTATCTCAACTTCCTCTACAATGACTTCCTCCTCTATCGCGTTCTTGTGCGCCGGGCACAAAGTGGATCCGAGGGTCTAGTCAGTGTGTCACAGAACATTCTCAGCACGATCCTTGAGCTTATCGGCAAGGAGATCGGCTCAAGAACGGGAACTTACAATGTTGGATATAATGTGCGTGCTGTTACCCCTTCGATCCCTGCCCTCTTATGCTTACCTGTCCTTAGGCTGCATCTTTCGGTGTTCCAGCGGCCGGCGTTCTAGCAATCGAGCTGCTCTGCCAAGCCGAATCCCAGTCCCAGCTTCCCGCCACCGTCTTCCGGCGATCGGAAGTCATCCAGAAACTGACCGTCTTCGCTTCGCACCTGCAGTATGTTGTCCGCCCGCATGATGGAATGTATGAGGTCTGTCAGCGCGCAAGAAGGGTCATCTCCAGCATTTTGGATCGTATCCTAACGGTCAATCCTCCCGCACTGCCTGCAACCCTGCCGCCCGATGTTCTGGCGACCAACTGGTTGAACGGAGAGATTGTTGTTCTGGACGACGGAACCGATCTTTTCCGTTGGATTGACGGCTCCTCTGATACCTCGCGACGGGGATCCTGGGCTTGATCAGCACGCGCTGTATGGTATGATGATTAATGACTGCCCCATGATGAGTAGAAGTATCCTTGTTGGGTACTTGCAAAGTATGATGATTGATGAAATACCCCATGCTTCGATAAAAGCATACGATGTCTATGTTGTGGAATGCTTATCTTCTCCTTTATGTGGCTACCTCTTCGCGCACCAGGCTCTTACCGGCCTATGAGTTGATCTATCTGCATGCGTTCCTCTTGGATCTACCTGTGTTTACCTAATGCTTTAATGAATACCGTTCAGTTTTACTCTATTGGTTATCTGACAACCCCACGATGATGGAAAGTCAAGAAACCAGTAAGCAGAAGATAAGCCACCACAAGCGAGGGAACCAATCCAATTCTTGACCGATAAGCCACCTGTTCACAAGGATGTTATTCCCACCTTATATCATCACCCATGTCTCTTCTCGATAACTTTGCATTTATTGCTTGCTTATCACTCACCTCACCCATCCTTTGTCAGACAAACCAGTACCTTGGTCTTTCAAACCCAACCAATCAACCAACCCACCCAATGACCTCCACCCCAGACAATGTCGAATACAAGGGAACTTGCCATTGTGGCCGGTTCCAATTCAAACTACATCTCTTCCGCCCCTTGGAAGCAGTGCATGCGTGTCATTGCACAATCTGTGCCAAGAAGGGGTACCTGTGGCTATTCCCTGCTGAACAAGATTTTCAAGTTACACGGGGGGGCTGGGGAGCTGGTTTGCTACGACTCTGGTAATGGGGGTCATGGAAAGCATATGGTAAATACCTTGCCAGGGACTGACGATGTTGACTAATTGTTAAACCGTGTCTCACTTTAGTTCTGTCCGACATGCGGGACGGGGCTATCGGTAAGGGGACATCAGATGCCGTCGGGGGAGGTCGGGATGGGAGTAAATGTGAGTGACTTGATTAGTATGTGTCCCGGGGATGGTATTGATTAATTGACTGCTACTCGATGAAGGCGCGGGCGTTGGTGGGAGTTAATCCGTTCAAGCTAGGGGTTGAGAGGTGAGTTCGCCGTCAAACATGCCGTATTTTTAAGGGATATACCTGACTCATCCATGTAGTTATACGCCGGGAAATATATCGCATGATAGTTCTCCCACAGAGCTCACTCACACTGACACTGACACCCCATCCGAGAAGATCTACACCGGTAGCTGCCACTGCACCGCAGTCCGCCTCTCTGTTCAAACCAAACCACTACCGGAGATTGAAGTGAAGGAGGATAACTGCAGCATTCGCCAGCGGGTATTGATCCAATTGACTGTCATCGCATATCACGAGTAGTAATCTGTCCTGACTAATCTACTCAGAACGCCAATATCTGTATATATCCCCACCGGTCACAGGTTGCTCTCCACGGCGAGGAGAACTTGACAGAGTATCGCTTTGGAAGGGGATTCACAGGACACCAATTCTGCAAGATATATGGTGTGCAAATGAGTATGAAGTTGCATGGACCGCCTCAGTCGGTGGTGGATAATCTTCCGCTAGAGAAGCAAGAAATGGTCAAGCAGAAGTTGGCTATTGTGCCGATCCGAGTGGCGGTTCTGGACGGGGTGGAGTGGGCAGATCTGGAAATTGAGAGAACGGATGAGGGGACAGAAGGGTATATTGTTGACTAATGGGGCAATAGTGGTGAGTACTGTATATATATTGTAGGTAAGTATATGGTTATAATCATATTGTGAAATTGGATACAATGTTGTTGTTCGTCAGGGACTCCGCACGGACTTGCCGTCGATCCGATCGGCACTCTCCCTAATGGGCGGTGCCTGATTGGACTTGGACCCGTGACGTCCCTTGCCTGGATGGGATGGATGCCCCTCATCCTCCCTCTTTGTTTCTCTTGCCTTCTTTCCTCCCATTCACACTCTCTCTCGCTCTGTCAGTCGTTATTGTTATCATTACTATACCCGTCATTAATATCATCTCCCAAGGAATGCCCTCTGCCCCTACCGACGGCTTGTCCGTCACCCACCCTTCCTCCAGGACCGGTCCGCCGCACCTCCGTCTGATCCACTACAATGACGTCTACCACGTGGAGTATGCTCCCCCAATACCTACAAAATAGCTATCTACACTCCTCGACAACTCCAACTGACAATCCCTTCAGAGAAGGTTCCGCAGAACCCGTCGGCGGCGTAGCCCGATTTCAATCCGTCGTCAATTACTACCGCAACGATCCCTCCTTTTCCGAACAACCCAACGTCCTGACCTTCTTCTCCGGCGATGCCTACAACCCCAGTCTCGAAAGCACGGTCACGAAAGGACGACACATGGTGCCGTTTCTGAATAAGGCGGGCACGGATGTAGCTTGTGTTGGTGTATGTTAGAACTGCATCCGTGCTGCACTGGAGGGAAGCTGACAAGGTCCTGGCAGAATCACGATCTCGATTTCGGTGTCGCTCAATTCCGCCATCTACGTACACAATGTCGGTTTCCGTGGCTGCTGGCCAATGTTCTGGATCTGGATTTGGGAAAGGATGTGCCGATTGCGAATTGCGAGAAGACATTGATGTTGACTTCGTCGAACGGGATCAAAGTGGGCGTGATTGGCTTGGGTGAGAGGGAATGGTATGTCTGATGGCCTGGTTTATGGTACAAATGGGTAGGTAGGCTAACGCTGGGCAGGCTCGGAACGATCAATGCCCTCCCTCCGAACCTGGTCTACAAGTCTGCGTACAAGACAGCGCTGGAGCTGGTCCCGCGTCTGCGTGAACAAGGCGCTGAATTGATTGTGGCGGTCACCCACCAACGTGAACCGAATGACTATAAGCTGGCTCAAAAGCTTCCGCCGGGAATGGTTGATATAATCTTAGGTGGTCACGATCATTTCTATGCCCATGCCGTCGTCAACGGCACGCATGTTCTCCGGTCGGGTACGGACTTCAAGCAACTTAGCTACATTGAGGCGTGGCGCAAGGAGGATGGTGAAGGATGGGACTTCAGTATCGTGCGCCGAGATATCGTTCGGTCAATTCCGGAGGATCCTGCAACGACGGTCATGGTAAATCGGTTGACGTCTAGCTTGGCGGCGAAGTTAGAAAAGCCGATCGGGTATACTTCGGTCGCATTGGATGGTCGATTCTCAACTGTGCGTCAGAAGGAGTCGAATTTGGGAAACTTTGCGTGCGACCTCATGCGGTTTTACTATGGGGCTGACTGCGCGATGATGGCTGGCGGGACTATACGTGGTGACCAAATTTACCCGCCAGGGATCCTGCGGCTGAAGGATATCCTCAACTGCTTCCCCTTTGAAGATCCGGTCGTATTATTGCGCATCAAGGGTCGTGCGCTCTTTGATGCCCTGGAGAATGGAGTGAGCCAGCTTCCAGCGCTCGAAGGACGGTTTACCCAAGTATCGAACATTACTTTTGGCTACAACCCCTCGGCCCCTTCGGGTTCCCGCATCAACTGGGCCCAGGTCGGCGGAGAGCCAATTGACTTCGATGGGCAGTACACATTGGCAACCCGCGGATACATGGCTCGTGGGAAAGACGGGTTTGCGTCTCTGCTGGTGCAGTCAGAGGGCGGCGAAGTCGAAGAGATCGTAGATGAAGAGAGTGGCATCCTGATCAGCACACTACTCCGCCAGTATTTCCTGAGTTTGCGAGTGCTGGGTCGATGGCGCCGCTGGGGTCCCAGCATGACCCGACACTGGAGCAACGTGCATGATAGCCTCCATTGCAATGGATGGCTGAAACCGCCATCCCGCCAGCCGTCTCCCGAGTCAAACAAGGTGCCGTATCGGCCCCCGTTGTCGCGGTCGAAGAACTACTATTATGGTCGGTTCCCCGAGATTGTGGAAACCGAGGAGACGGAGAGCCGAGGTGTGGGCTTGAACGGGGAGAACGAGTCAATGGACTCGGACTCGGACACTGACCCCGACATCCTGACCTCTCCTCGTCCGACTACGAACTATGTAACTCTGCCAGCACGGTCCGCTACGGAAGAGGAACGGCGCCTGCGTCTGGCGCGCAAGGCCGTCCGGACATGGATGCATCGGACGGGGCTGCAGCCATCGCCAATTAATGACGCGGATGAAGTTGGAGAATTCACACCAACATGGACACCAGGTATCTCGCCGCGCTTGGAGCAGCGGATTGTGGTTGAAAATTAGAGGATTTGGAGGTTGTTGGCGATCCATCATACCATCCCCTGGCTATGATATCATCCCCGCACCAGGCAACCGCCAATCTGTCCCCAGCTTATCCGGATCTCCGCACGTTTACCTCGAGTCCCGCCATTCTTCCCTCCTGCCCTTCCATCCCACCTCCCTCCTCTTCACAATGGCCACCCACGCCGATCGCATCAATCCTCTCCGCGCCCAAATCGCCCGCTTTCACGAAACCCGCACTCCCTTCCGCATATACCACGGCAGCACCAATTCCACCCGCAATGCCAGTCTCACCCCTACCAATACCCTCAGTACCGCTCACCTTACCAATGTCCTCTCCGTTGATCATGCTGCCAAAACCATCCAGGTGGAGCCCAACGTCCCAATGGATGCTCTCCTAAATGCTACACTCGCCTATAACCTCGTCCCGCTGGTCGTCATGGAGTTTCCCGGCATCACCGCAGGCGGGGGGTTCTCCGGCACCTCCGGCGAGAGCAGTTCCTTCCGACACGGCTTCTTCGATGCCACAGTGACTCGCATTGAGATAATTCTTGGTAATGGGGAGATTCGTACGGCCTCCCGTACCGAAAATGCGGAGTTGTTCAATGCCGCAGCTTCCGCGTTCGGTACCATGGGCGTGATCACAATGCTGGAAATCCAATGTCGCGACGCTAAGTTGTTTGTCGAATTGTCCTACATTCCGGCTCGTAGCATTAGCGATGCGCGGCAGATATTCCATGAGAAGACCCAGGACCCCGATGTTGATTATCTGGACGGCATAGTCTTCGCCAAGGACCATGTAGTGGTATGCGCGGGGCGACTGAGCGATGGTTCTCTCTCGAAAGACGACAAGACACAGAGGTATAAGATTCAACACTTCACCCGTCCCCACGATCCCTGGTTCTATCTCCATGCTCAACGCTCCGGGCGTGTAACGCCCCCATCCTCAGCCCCCGTAGAACCAACGACCGAGCTCGTGCCCCTTCCTGACTACCTCTTCCGCTACGACCGCGGTGCCTTCTGGACCGGCCGCTACGCCTACAAATACTTCATAACACCCTTCAATCGCATTACCCGCTACCTCCTTGACTACTTCATGCACACGCGCGTCATGTACCACGCCTTGCACGCCAGCGGACACTCCAACCAATACATCATACAAGACGTAGCCGTCCCATACTCCTCCGCAGACACCTTCGTCACATGGCTCGACGAGCCAGAGCACTTCGGCGCATATCCAATCTGGCTCTGTCCTCTCAAAGTCACTGACAAGACCAGCACAAGTAACCCCCAAATCATCGGCCGCGGAAAACCCTCCCTTCCCTCTGCCTCATCAGCAGAGAAGGAAGAAGATGAATACCTCCTCAACTTCGGCCTCTGGGCACCCTCCCCCTACCGCGGCGCCCAGTTCATCGCCCAGAACCGCCGTCTCGAGCACAAAGTCCGCGACCTGGGCGGTAAGAAATGGCTATACGCGTGTGCGTATTACACGGAGGACGAGTTCTGGGACATATACGATAAGAAGCGGTATGATGCCCTCCGGGAGAAGTATCATGCGGGCTACTTGAAGACTTTGTATGAGAAGGTGAGAGTGGATTTGAATCCTTCTGCCACGGAGAGGGAAAGGCAAGCTGGGATGGGATGGGGCCAGTGGGTTGGGAATGTGATGTGGAATGTGTGGCCGGTGAGTGGGTTGTATGGGGTGTATAGGGCGTGGTGGGGAGGTGAGTATTTGTTGAAGAAGGGGAAGTAGATGTTGGTGCTACATAGGTAGGTGGATATAGTTGTTTTGGATTAGTGATGGTATAGACTCTTGGATATATTTGAAGAGATAGAGGAGATATATGGAATATCACTTATGAAGTATGTTTTGATGTACTATGGAATAAGCGTAGTAGTAGAGCTAAGCACTAGTAACATGAAATGTTCCACAGGGAGTTTTGATTATATCGCACTGCGGCTGATCAATCAGTCTTCAGCCGTAATATGTCTACTACTTACTGCCTGCCCAACTGATAACACTATCTCTCACTCTACGTGCTATACGTGTGCAGACAGAGCTGGGGTAATAACCTCATCTAAGCCGGTAATTCCTATATTACATAGTAGTTGATTCGATCATCAATTATATTTGATGCACTATTACCGCATGCAAGTCATAATACATCACATACATAGCTAGTAATAAATATTGAATCATCATAGTCATCATCAGGGACACGGTACATCCACTATTCCCCAACACCGTATCCAAAGGACTGATTCCCAACAGTTCATTGAGGAAATCCCAATCACCTTTTCATCCACTACCGCTTTAACACACCAGGGCTTTTTTCTCCCTCTCATTCCTAATGCTGCCGTCTCAACTCCTTCCGAAAACTCTCCTCCTGCTTGACGACCTCCAACGGCAACGTCCACCCGACTCCAAACAAGACGAACGGCGCCCACTTCCACCGGAACGGGTTAACCAGGATACAAAACACGAACCAATACAAAAGCTCAGTGTACGTGAAGAAGTCGAATGCGCCAACAGGCGAC